CCCCATAGTTTCCCCATCCTCCTTCCTCTTTGTCCTCCCCCTTTTTCCAACCCATTCACCACCTGGGGGCTAAGAAACCAAAAAGAAAATACGCCATTCAAAACAATAACACAAAAAACAAGACCAGAGCAAACAAAAAACACAAGGACCCCCTCCCCCAAACAACAATACCTATACGACCACCCTTCGGGTGATAAGGAGGTTGCGGGGGGGAGAGGGGGGGAATTAACATCTGATTCAATCTATCTCAGTATCGATCTCACTCGACGGGACACCACGGGACACCATAGGACACCACGGGACACTTGTCGATCTCACTATCGATCTCACCCAACGGGACACCACGGACCACCACGGGACATCGCGGGACATCTCGGGACACATCTCGATCTCACTACCGGTCTCATTATCGATCTCACGATCGATCTCATTCAACGGGACACCATAGGACACCACGGGACAGTTCGGGACACCACATCGATCTCCTTATCGATCTCATTATCGATCTCACTCAACGGGACAACACGGGACACCTGTCGATCTCACTATCGATCTCTCTATCGATCTCACTTTTTGGGACACCGCGGGACACCTCGGGGCACAACATCGATCTCATTGTCGATCTCGCTATCGATCTCACTCAACGGGACACCACGGGACACCTGTCGATCTCACTATCGATCTCACTATCGACCTCACTTTTTGGGCCACCACGGGACATCGCGGGACATCCCGGGACACATCTCGATCTCATTATCGGTCTCATTATCGATCTTTGGATCGATCTCACTCAACGGGGCACCATAGGACACCACCGGACACCGCGATTTGTTCCTGCGTCCGCGCCGCGTAGCATTTCCCCTAGTGGCCGATCATGTGTTTAACTGCGCCTTGTCCTGATGCGCGATCGCGTCTTACATGTGCCGCGCGCGCGTCTCCGTTCCAGTTGATACTTGAATATTTGTCTCAGCGCCTTCAGCCTGAAATTGTCTGGCCGTGTACGCACACATACTCATCCGCCCGCCAACATTCGAGCACGCCGCCCAGAGTCAACAACCGATTGCTCCAAATATTCGATTCGCACATCAGCTGTCGCACTAGCCTTTGCACAAATCGTATTTTGAATATGTCTGTTCATCACATACTCGCCATCTGCAGTGATCGAGCATGTGATTCAATATTACATGTATTCAGACGCCCGCGCGCCATGGCTCATCGGCGGCAGTGCGCGACCACGTCGCCACATCTTCCGCGCATGGGCGCATTTTGACCAGTGCCCAGACATCTTTTTAAACGTCCTATGTATTTTGGCGCGCGCGCGAGATTAAAAACGTCCTTGTAGCCAACACAAGCCGCATCGAATCCTTAGCCAATTCGAGGGCCCAGGAGAGATTCAGATCTCCACTTGAAGCTTGGAGCCCCAGCTGCCCGGCGCCTTGGGATAGTCGGGGGCGTCTCTTGGGTTGTCTTGGAGCCCTCTTGGGTCGTCTCGGAGCTCTCTTGGGTGCATCTTGAGGCGTCTCGTGGGAGTCTTGGGGGCCACTTGGGCCGTCTTGGAGTGTTGGAAGCTCGAAAAAGGCTACCCAACATACACTGAACATGCCAAAGAACATCTATGTGTTTTGCCTCTCGTGGCCCTCTTTGGGGAATCTTGGGGGCCTCTTTTGGCCCTCTTAGGGCCTCCTGAGCCCTCTTTGGGCGGAAGGCTCGAATTGTCGCTTTGTGCTCACCCTCGTGAGCTTTTCGTGGGGTCGGCTTGGGGCCCTTATTGAGCGTTCTGGGGCGCCTCTTGGGCCGTCTTGTAGCCCTCTTGGGGCCCTTGTGGGGGCCTTTTGGGCCGTCTTGGGGCAGTCCTGGTGGTCTCTTGGATCGTCTTGGGACGTCAGAAGCTCGAAAAGGCGACAACCTGCAAAACGTTGAAACAACTAGGGGAACTCGCGTATGTTTGCCTCTCGAGACCAACTTTGGAAGGCTTCCTTGGGACGTCTCGACGGCCTCGTGGACCGTCTTGAAGCCATCTCGGACCGTCTTGGATCGCTTTGCGGCCATCTTGACGGCCTTCGTGGCCTGCTTTGGCCGTCTCGGAGGCCATCTTGGACGCTTTGGAGAGCGCCAGGGAGGTGTGAGGCAACCCAGGGAGCCTCGGGGAGAGGGGGCGGTGCATGCATGGAAGTGCGTCCCGAGGAGGGGGGCTCCGAAAATTACAGAAGCGCCCCAGCGCACAAGGCACGGTGGCGGATAATATCTACACTGACAGTTGTCATCAGTCCAAAAGGTACTGCACATCTATTTGGTTGCTTCGCTCATTCCGCCAGCCCATATTGTCTCGCCGCTGTCGTTTGGCGGCTGCCATTTTCGGAAGCGGCGGTTGGTGGGTCAGAGGCGTCATGGATGTTGGTTGAGCTCTCGTGGTTGGCCTCTCGGGGGCCTCTGGGAGGCAGATTTGAGGCCTCTTGGGGCCGTGTGGGGGCCTCTTCTGGTGAGGGCCTTTCGGGCCTTCTTGGGGTGCCTCTTGGGGGCCTCTTGGGGGCCTCTTGGGGCCTCCTGGGGGTCTCTTGAAGCTGAAGACTGGAGTCTTCGGTTCCTGGTCCCCTTCTTGGACCCCTCTTGGGGCCGTTTTGGGGCCCTCATGGGCCGTCTCGGGGCCCCCTTGGGCTCTCTTGGGCCCATCTTGGGGGCGTGTTGGGCCGTCTGGGGGCGATGTTGGAGGCCTCTGGGGCAGTTCTGGACGCTGTGAACCCCCAAACGTCGTGGATGCGACAAATGCACGCTTTCCGATGGGAAGGGGGCGATTTTTGCTTGTTTGGGCTCTCTCGGGGAGCCTCATGAGGCTCTCTTGGAGCTTTCTCGCGGCCTCTGGGGCCATCTGGAGACCATCGTGAGCGTCTTAGAACAATCTTTCGGCGACTCGGGGCCTCTTGGGCCGTGTAGGGGGCGTCCCGGCGCCCTCTCGGGCTCGGCGCGCTCCTGGATTGCCCTGGGGGAGTTGGCCAGGCATCGGCCGGGCATCGCCCAGGGTATTGTTCGTCCAGGGGTCCCCAGAGGTCCCCAGGGGCCGCCACGTTCGCGCGAAATAGAAATACTGTTAACCTGTTACCGGAGATCTTAGCAGCCCATTGGGCCAGCGAATCCCAAACGAAGAGGAAGAAGCGAAAGACGGATAAAGCGACAGATGACGGAACGAACGTTATCCTTTTGAAATGCCCAAAGGCCCTCCCCCAGCTCAGTGCGGCAAGTTTGCCATTGCATTACAAGTGCGCCATCGCGCTTGCCCCGCCCTGGCGGAGCGCCGCAAACAGGCACATTGGCCGCACGGGGTCGTGGTAGGGTCCCATCCCCAGCTCTGTGCGGCACATCTGCCTTTGCTAATTTTGCCTTACGCCCACGACGGCCCTGCCAAATGCGGCAAAAGAGCATGTGTTTGCCGCGGTAGGGGTAACATCATATGTTCCGCATGTAGCTTGGGTACGTCACGGGCAAACGTGTATGTCTAATCTTGGTTGAGCCTTTTGGAATGCATCAGGGCCCTGCCCCAGCCCAGGGCGGCATATTAATCCTTTCGGCAAGTCCGTTATGGAATGAGCATTTCTAGCGTGATAGTGGTCATCGGTTTTAGACAGGACCGCTATAGCAGTACGCTTTCTAGTGTGATATGCAGGCTCGCTATCTCATTACACAGTCCACTGAGATAGTGCAATCGCTAATGGTATAGTGGCATGGCGGTTACCGGCTTGTGACAGGACAGTTGTACCAGTAGAACCTATAAAGCAATAGCGCGTCCCAGCTGTGGAGGACTACTATCTCATTAGATTTCCGAATGTGATAGTGTCCAGTTCTAGAAGGGATCTCTGCATTGCTTACGTTTTTGGACAGGATTGTTTCTCACTACAAGTTCAAATGAAACATGTCCGATCGGGTTGACACCGAACAACTTTCAATTGCTTACTCTAATTTGGTAGTGCTTCCTGGCTTTGGCCTGAACCATGTACAATTTGAAATTTCAATTGGATGGTGTTGTCACCCGCGGTGTGCGACCACCATCGTTTTATAGTGTGTAAATGTATAGATAACTGGATCGTGGGCTGACCCCGTGGGGGAGAAGTTAGGTGTGTCCAGTGAATTTTACATGAGGAGAGGCACATCGAGCCGTGTCAGAGTTTACAAAGCTCCCCTTTAGGATTGCGCATGGATGCACGATAGGGTACTTTTGGAGAGAGAGGTCCTCATGGGCCCCCCATCTCAGCGAATAGAACTTAAATCAGTGCGCCTAGATTGTCTCTCTCCTCTCCTCCTCTCTCTTCTCTCCTCCTCTCTCCTCCTCTCCTCCTTGGCGCAACCTGTGGCGCAAGTTAAGCCCCGTCGTGTCGTGCCTCTGTTCGGGCTATCTCTTCGTGTTTCCCTTCGTGACACACGAGGGTCCGAGCTGCCTCGGGTAAGCACGCAGAGCTGGTGCTGGTCGAGCGGTTCCGGACAAAGGTTGGCCCCGCCGGGCCGCCGCGGCGCCAGCGTCGCCCGACCGCTCCTGGCCGTGGCGACGATGGCGCGGAGGCGGCCCGGCGGCCAGCCTTTCTCCACCTCGTCCTCGGGGGCGACCAAGGGGGGAATTTCACTAGGGGGCGGTGGATATCATGGCGGGTGCCATGATTTATGATGTTCTACCCTACTTTGGCCGTGATCGCCAGACAGGATATCGAGCACCAAGAAAGTACCGAAACTTTAAGGTTTTCACGTGTCGGGCCCTGGGAGGGGATACGCGTTCGACACTGTTTCGGTGCTTGTCCGGGTGCTCGAGATCATTTCTGGGATGTGGTCTTTAAGTTCAAAAACAACACCATAAGCCATGACATCTCCCCAGATTTCATGGCGCTTCTTCTTGTTTCAGTACGTCCCTGGCTCCCCCCTGGACCGCGCACATGCCGCCGGCCATGGTTTGCGACCCGTCCTGGCCGCCCCCGACATCCTGCCTCGAGCCTTGGGCCCAGCGTCCTTGGAGCCCAGAGGTGAAGCACGACGGCCTCTGGAAGAAGGCGGACTGGACGGTGAAGGCGCGGTGTGCTCGCGTGTGCGCGGCCTCTCCGTGCGACCCTCGGATTCCCCGCCGCTCCCTCTCGCGTCTGGCTCCCGGAAGGCCCGTGGCGGACTGGGCCAGTGCTTGTCTGTCTACGGCGTGCTGGTGACCTGCGGCGGCGCAAGACAGTACCCGAGCGAGCGAGAGCCGTTAGTTCCTCTGGATACTTGACCTGCGTCGCTGGCCGCTGGCCTGGAGTCCAGGCCCTTCGATCGCGCGGCCTGGCCATTCTGGCTGTCCGGCTTCGACAGTGTGGTGCCTCGATGTCGTCGCTCCGATCTTCGTGGGCGTTGGCTCGACGCTCTCTGCGAGAGAGGGAGAGAGAGCATGTCCCCAGCTGAGGGCTGCAAGAAGCAACCTTGCAGCGAGCACCATTGCTGCATTCTCCTTGGTGACCCAATTGTGATGTCCGCCCGCGTGCTTGTCCTTGGTATGGCAAGGAGAGGAAGTAGGAAGGGAACGTTGGGAGGGGGCCAGCTGGAATGTGAAGAAGATGGGGAGGGGGAAGATGATACTGCCCCGATGCGAAAGCTTCCCCAATATTGTCACGGTGCATCTCGTCTCGTCATCTGTGAGACGGGCCCGAAAATGGGCCTCACGCTAAGGGTTGTCCGCAAAAGCACTTCCTCTCGCCGAGTCCCTTGTTCTGCCCCCGGTGGTCCAGAACCAGATTTGTCAGCGGTCGCGCCCGAGGGCGGTTTCGGCCCAGGTCCGCGAGGCTCGTGCACGACTTCCTTACTGCAGCGGCACTGCAGTCCTTCGGCTGCGTTCCGTCCGCGCGGAGCCGTACTTCGCAAGACGGGGTAGAACGTTCGGAGCGTCGATGCAAGACCCGATAAGACAGCGCCTCAGCGAGCTATTCGAGATGGCGATGGACTTCATGGCCAAAGGGCCCTCGGGGCGGATCTGCAGTCCTGACGCTGACACAAAGACCGTTTTGAGCTCAGTGGGGGTCTCTGGATTTCGGGCCGCTACGTAGATCTAGGTCGGGGAAACTTCGTCGTGGTCAAAATTCGCCGTGACTGGAACACCATCAATCGTTCCTTAGTCGTCGCTCTTTTATGGTAGCGCGATGCCTACAAGATGATGATGATGCTGCTGATTATGATGATGATCATGATGGTGATGATGACGATAACGATGCCGATGCCGATGACGATGATGATGATGATGATGATGATGATGATGATGATGTTGGGGATGATGATGATGATGATGGTGATGGTGATGGTGATGATGATGATAATGATGATTGTGATTGTGATGCTGCTGATGATAATCAAGCTGCTGATCATGGTCATGATGATGATGCTGATGCTGATGCTGATGATGATCATGCTGATGATGATGTTGCTGCTGATGATGATGATGTCGTTATTGCTGTTGATGATGCTGACTATGTTGATGGTGATGCTGATGCTTATGATGATGTTGATGATGGCGATGATGATGATGATGATGATGATGATGATGATGATGGTGATGGTGATGATGATGGTGATGATGATTCTGAGAAGGAGGATGATGAGGAGGAGGAGACGGCGGAGGATGATGATGGTGACGATGATGTTGATGCTGATGCTGATGCTGGTGCTGATGATCATGATGATGATGATGATGAGGATGATGAGGATGATGATGACGACGATGATGATTACGATGATTGTGATGCTGCTGATGGTCATGTCGTTGATGCTGATGATGCTGATGATGATGCTGATGCTGATGCTGATGATGCTGACGATGATGCTGATGATGATGGGGATGATGATGATGATGATGGTGATGGTGATGATCATGATCATGATCATGATCATGATCATGATCATGATCATGATCATGATGGTGATGATGACGATGACGATGACGATGACGATGACGATGACGATGACGATGACGATGACGATGACGATGATGATGATGATGATGATGATGATGATGATGATGATGATGATGATGATGATGATGATGATGATGATGATGATGATGATGATGATGATGATGATGATGATGACGTGGGTGACGAGGAGGACGAGGAGGGCGAGGAGGGCGAGGAGGAGGAGGACGACGAGGAGGCAGGGGGGGCGGGGACGGGGAGGAGGACCCAGGCGACGAGGAGGACGGCGAGGAGCCGGGGGAGGAGGACGAGGAGGCGATGCGTCGCGCCGCACAAGCGGGGGAGAATGACACGAGGAGGCGAGGCCGATTGCCGCCTCCGTCGTCCGCCTCCGCTCGCCGCTCGCGCGCGCGCGGAGGCCGAGGCCGACACTGCCTTCTCGCCAGCGCGCCTGCGCGCGAGGTTGCTCGAGCTGAGCCCGTGGGAAGGCGCCGCAGCCGGGGGTGGGTCCCCGCTGCCCCTCCTCGTCCCCTTCCTCCCTCCTCCCTCCTTCTTTCTCCTTCCCCTCTCCTCGTGCCTCCAAGCGAGTAAGGGGGAACCCCGCCGAGCGCCGTTGGCGACAAGGGGCCGCAGTCTCAACGTGGGCTGGGGCTCCCAGCGGGGTCTGATCCCTGCTTGAGTGCCGGCCTGCGAGGGGCGTGGGCTGGCCTAACTTGCTCCTCGGGGCCCACCAGCACCTGAGAGAGCCTGCCCCTTGCGGACCACAGCATGACGACCTGTCGGCGAGCTGAGACAACCGCAGCCGCCGCCGCTGGACCAGGTTGTCAGGCAGGCTGCCTTCGCTGCTGCAGGTGTCCCGGCCTTGGCGCCGAGTGAAGGTGCCGTGGGTTGCAGCGATCCAGTGGGCGCCAGCTTTGGCCGAGTTGCGGCAAGCTAACTCGGAAGTGTGGCGCAGGAGATACAAACATGCTTTCAGTTCCGTGAGCTGCGGAGCGTTGCGGTGCCAGCGCTGGCTTTTCTGTTGCTGGCAAGTCGTTGCGCTCCACTTGCGTCAGAAGCACGTCCGAAGGGACCTTCTTACATCGCGTTTTTGGTTGCCCGTGCACGGCCGCCCTACGGCGAGAAGGCTGTCCGCCTGACTTGATACCTGTCGCGCGAGTCGTTGCCACAGGCATCCGGTGTGTGTGTGTGGCTTTCTTCGCACGATGACTCACGCCGTCCGGAGAGCACACCTTTGGTCAATAGGGGTGGCCGAGGAAGGCCAGTGCAGGTTCGTAGGATGTTTGCATGCATGGTTGTTCCAAGGGTCGATGTTTGTAGACGGATCGTCGTTCCGCACCTTGTACGGCGGGTTTCGTCGTGCAGGGTGGCCAGTCGCGTGCATCAATGCCGATTGAAGTTTCAGGTGTGCGATATACGGCGCTGCCGCTAGCCAGAGCTCGACGGATGCCGAAGATTACACGCTTTATATGCTCTCCAAGTTCTCGGTCTGCTCAGAGGCCGACGGCGCGCTAACTGTTGTTTCAAGTTGTGTTGGATCGGGAGAAATGCGCCAGGGACCCCAGGAAAGCCCGCAGCCCATCCCAGGCAATTCGTCGTTTCTGGGAGCCGCGGTGATCGAAGCACGGGTCGATCACGAGCGAGAAAAAAATCAAGGGTCATGCCAGAACTAGCGCGCATTAGTTGTGTTGCTACACATGTTGCAGGAAGGGTGATCATATGGTTGACCGCCGGGCAAAATAGAAGCCCGCCTGTGGAAGGTCCCCGCTGAACGAATCTGCGCGTGAACTTGTCCACTGGATTTGCCGTCTGAACGCGTGGATTGCGGAAAACGATCGCCCAGACACAGATGGGGTTGCCGGGACCTCGGATGTGGTCGTTGAAGTCCACGACATTTTTGATTTAGGGCCTTTTGCGTGAAATCATCGGCCGGAAGCGGATTGAATGCGTGTGCCTATCTTCGCGCCCGAAGACGCCAGGGGTGGGGACGGGTTGGACATCGGGTTGGTGTTTGGCAGGCCGTGGTTGTTCAGAGAGCATTTGATCGTGAAATGCGATGTTGGCGATGGGGGGGACTGCGCCTCCGCGTGTTTTCTGCAAGTGCTCTGGCACCTTGGTAGGGCAGAGGGTCTCCCATGGCAAAGGGCTGGCGGTGGGGTGCGGGGGCTCGGGGCACGGAGGGCTTCAAGACCCAGCGCGCTCGCCTCAGGCGCCGCCTGCATCCCTCGGCCCTCTCGCCTAGAGCCTAGGGGCCCTTCGGCATCGCCTGCATCCCTCGGCCCTCTCGCCTAGAGCCTAGAGGGCCCTTCGGCATCAGAGGTGGAAGCGAGAGCGACGGGTTCCTGGCTGCTCGAGAAGCTGACGGGTTCCCAGTCTGTGTCCTCGTCTGGGGTGGGGTTTGGGGTGGGGTATGGGCCCGCTGGCGGGCCGCCTGTGGGCCCCAGGAGCCCACGGTCGCCAGGGGTCCGCCGGCTTCCGCCAGTATTCTGGCATCGCCCGGACGTGTGCATCTCTGCACCTCTTTCTCGGCGGGGACCCTCTTGGAGTCATGGAGCATCTGGCAAAGAAAGCACGCCCGAGCGATGGCAAAGTACGGTGTGGAGGCCCTCGTGCTGGGCCCCTGGAGAGTCGCCCGTCTTCACGGCGCTTGCTCGCCCGCCCGGAGGTTGGCTGGGCCGAGCAGCAGGCGGGCCCACAGGCAGGCCAGAGCCGACGGGGTGGGGCTGCGGACCATCCCCAGGGGCGGGAGGCGCCTGAGCGCGCCATCGGCCGCGTAGCGTCACGGCGGACTCGCCGATGCACGACGTCCATGCCCGCCTCCCTCCCTCCGTCCCTCCCGTCTCTCGGCGAGGGAGAGGGCCTTCTCAGAGGGCGGCGGGGCCTTTCAGAAGCCCTCAGGCCATTCCGGGAAGCTTTCAGTGGAACCTTCGGTGGAGCTCTTGATGGGGCCACGAACCGTGTGAGGGGTGTGCCGAAATGGGTGGCGGGCACGCATGGGAGCGTCGCCACTGGGGCCTTCGGTGGAGCACCCTGTGGGTGCATTAGCGTGGAGCGCTCAGCAAGCCTCCCAGATGGCCTCCGAGCCCTCCGAGACGAGCCGCGCCTTCTCTCGGTTCCCCCCCCGGGCTCGCCGCCCCGCCCCGCCTCGCTCTCGCTGCTGCCGCCTTGCGTCACCGCCACACGCCCCCCGGGCTCGCCGCCACAGGCCGGCCGTTGGATTCCCAGATTCCAATCTACTTTCAGCGCTTTCCCACTTCACTGCTCGAGTGGCTTCACCTTTTCCGTCCTCTGTAAGGGGCAGGCGGACACCCTATCTACTTTCAGCGCTTTTCTACTCCATGTTTCTACCTACATTTTCCGACCGATGGTAGTGGAGCGGCACAGACAAAGAACGGGCTCGTCTGAGCCGACATTGGCGCGTACGGTAGGTTCGCGTCGTGTGGACCTCTGGCGATTCCGCCGCCGGCGTTCAGGCGTTCAGGCGTTCAACGCTGAATGCCGCCAGCGACCCAGAATCGGTCGATGTCGACCGATCTGGCGTTTCGATCGTTCGAGGTTGACGATCCCCGCGGTGTCAGGAACCAGCGCCAGAGTCGGCACGATACGAACTTGCCGTAGGCTGCCCGCGCAAGGTCGCGCGTGCGCGCCCTCGTCTCCCGCCGTGGCGCTCTGCGCTGGCCGCCCGCGCAGGCCGCCTCGCGCGAGGTCGCCGTGCCATCTCGCGCAGGACCCGTGTCTCTTGAAGTCGCTCGCTGG